GTCGGTTGCATTATAGATCTGCAGACTCGGTCGGTTTTATGATAGATCTGCAGATTCTGTCGCAACAGCCTGCAGCTCCTTGCAGAGTGTGCTTTAGCTCCCAGATGACATGTGGCTTACAGATGGTTAATCTGCTCTATTACTCCTTCCAAGTGTTATACAGTCATTCCTTCATCTGATAATTACCTATAGTAAACTTAATAGATTAAATACAACTTCGTAACCATATCATTGTCTACCTGGGTATCCTGGGTACCTCTGGTCTACCAGGATACCCCATTTTGTGTTGCATAATATGTATTGGGGGTCAAGTATCCCTGCTGAATCCCCAATGTTGTCTGGTAGAATTTTCTTGACCAGGTCATCCGATGCCAAGGAGGAAGACTGGAAGGATGGGGCAGCAATTTGGGTTGCAGTGCGGACACCAAGGCCACCGACCCTGACCGGAAGGGTGGCATGTTTCCACTGATAGACATTTAGGGAAAGGTTGATAACTTTTTCTAACATGTCTTCAGTAGGAAGTCATACTCTCCAAGCTTTGGGCTGTTCCAAGCTTGGGACGAGATAAAGTTGTCACGAGATATGCTTGCCAATATATTTTCTTGTCAGTAGAGAGGCATGACATGAAGGAGGCATGTCCTAAGATAGGCATGCTCTGAGAAGTGCATGTAATGAGATAGTCATTTCAGGAAACAGGCATGTCATGAGATCACGTGCCATGATATATTTCCACCTCTCTCGGAGGCTTGCCTTATCCTCTTAAAACTCGCTTAAAGAGCTAACTTTTTTATTTCTTACAGTTAAAGCAAAATTGATTTAGTCCCGAGTTTCTATTTTCAGTGTGAAAATTTAACTTTTTTACTAAACTCATTTAATGTATTGACAAATTTTTATATGATGATGCCAAAGTTGAAATAATCTTTCAGCTTATTGAAACTCTTGGTTTCAATAAATAAATCTATTACATCGAATGGATATATATGTATTGAAGTATTTGTTTTCATGGAAAATATGGGGATCTCTTACATGCCAGGAATTTTATGATTAATTTTTTATGTGAATGTCATTGAAAATTCTGGCGAGGTATATTGGAAAATACAACAGAGGCTTTTTGTTACCTTTTTTTTTAATTTTCTAAATCATTTGCTGTTGATCTGTGTAGAGTTCTTTCTCTCCTATCCTTCTGTGTGTATCTCTCTGTCTTCCTGTGTCTCACAGAAAGACAGAGAGAGACCACCACATCACTGCCTAATGCATTCGATTTGTCAACCACTCTGACACTAAAAAAGTTCTTTCTCATATCTCTGTGGCTCATTTGGGCATTCAGTTTCCACCTGTGTCCCCTAGTGCGTGTACCCCTTGTGTTAAATAGCCTGTCCTTATCTACCCTATCAATTCCCTTGAGAATCTTGAATGTGGTGATCATGTCCCCCCTAACTCTTCTAGCTTCCAGCAGAGTAAGGTTTAATTCCCGTAGTCTCTCCTCGTAGCTCATACCTCTCAGCTTGGGTACTAGTCTGGTGGCAAATCTTTGAACCTATTCCAGTTTAGTCTTATCCTTGACTAGATATGAACTCCATGCTGGGGCTGCATTCTCCAGGATTGGTCTGACATATGTGGTATACAAAGTTCTGAATGATTCTTTACACAAGTTTCTGAATGCCGTTTTTATGTTGGCCAGCCTGGTATATGCCGCTGATGTTATCCTCTTGATATGGGCTGCAGGGGGACAGGTCTGGTGTAATATCAACCCCTAAGTCTTTTTCTCTCTCTGACTCTTGAAGAATTTCATCTCCCAGATGATACCTTGTATCTGGCCTCCTGCTTCCTACACCTATCTTCATTACATTACATTTGCTTGGGTTAAACTCTAACAACCATTTGTTCGACCATTCCTTCAGCTTGTCTAGGTCTTCTTGAAGCCTCAAGCAGTCCTCTTCTGTCTTAATCCTTCTCATAATTTTGGCATCGTCAACAAACATTGAGAGAAATGAATCTATACCCTCCGGGAGATCATGTACATATATCAGAAACAAGATAGGACCTAGTACAGAGCGCTATGGGACTCCACTGGTGACTTCACGCCAATCTGAGATCTCACCCCTCACCGTAACTCTGTTTCCTATTGCTTAGGTACTCCCTTATCCACTGGAGCACCTTACCAGCTACACCTGCCTGTCTCTCCAGCTTATGTACCAGCCTCTTACGCGGTACTGTGTCAAAGGCTTTCCGACAATCCAAGAAAATGCAGCCCGCCCAGCCTTCTCTTTCTTGCTTAATCTTTGTCACCTGGTCGTAGAATTTTATTAAGGCAGTCAGGCAAGATTTACCCTCCCTGAATCCATGTTGTCGATTTGTCACGAAGTCCCTTCACTCCAGATGTGTTGCTAGGTTTTGTCTCACGATCTTCACCACCACCTTGCTTGGTATACAAGTCAAGGACACTGGCCTGTAGTTCAGTGCCTCTTGCCTGTTGCCCGTTTTGTATATTGGGACCACATTCGCCGTCCTCCATATTTCTGGTAGGTCTCCCGTCTCCAGTGACCTACTATACACGATAGAGAGTGGCAAGCAAAGTGCCTCTGCACACTCTTTCAGTACCCATTATGAGATCCCGTCTGGACCACCAGCATTCCTAGCATCCAGATCCAGCAGGTGTCTCTTGACCTCCTCACTCGTGAGGAACACAAATGCGAACAAGCCTGAATGGTCCCCAGGACTATATGCGACTGAAAACTCATGCTATGCCCAAGATTACCATCCAAGTGCCGGCGGGAAAGTGGTTCAAATAGCTTCGGCTATCACTTCCTTTTGTCCGGTCGTGATGGTCAAGCAGATTAAGGCGTTCTGTAGATACCAGTTGCGTTGCTCCTGGCAGTATGGGTTCGAGTCACTTCTGGGGTGTGAGTTTTCAGTCGCATATAGTCCTGGTGACAATTCAGGCTTGTTCGCATATATATATATATATATATATATATATATATATATATATATATATATATTTATATCCTGGGACAATACATTTGCGGGCACCTTTCTTTCCTTAGCGTGAATATATTCTTGAAGATGTAAGTTACTAAACTACTTCTGTGTCGATTTATTTTACTATTTTATGCGTATTGTTAATTACATCTTTTTCCTTCTTTTTTCTTTTCTTTAGTTTTGGCCTTCTTAACGCCTCCATCCTCTCCTCATTATCAAGCCTTGGCATGCATAATGCCTCGAGCCTCTCAGCGCAAAAGTCGACATTAAGGCTGGATCACTGAAAGCCTCATCCCGGATGAACACACTTTGGAACTCCTAATAGTAGTGTTTCACATATTTCCTTTTCAGTCTCTGTGAACTTGTTTTCCATTTGTAAGCTTCGGATTTTGTCATTCAATTGCAGTTTGATATTTATAAATTTATAGATAAGGACATGTTTTGTTTTGTATTTGTCCACTATTCCCTTCTCAAAATTGGTCTCTTCTTCTCTTCTCACTGCTGTGTAGTTGTTTCGTGCTTGTTTAGATTACTGTTATGGTTGTGGGTTTGGCCTCTACCTATACAGTGAAGATTGTGTGAAAAAAGCTAGAGAAACATCTGTAGTAGACGAACTTTGCATCACGAGACTAACATGTATTTATTAATTTTATGGTAATTTGGTCTTTGGCCTCTATATTTCCTTTTATGTTTCCGAATAAATGTTTGGTGGCTTCTCAATGTATCTCGGATAATCTGACGTACTTAATTTTTGTCCTTGCCTAACAATGAACCATTCCATTCAATTTCTAATAAGGAACTCTCACAGACTATCATGCTGTTCTTTCCTAAAGTTGAGTGTCTTTATTGTCTTTCTTCGCTGTCTGCTATTATACTTTTAAGATTATATGGTCACGCGTATCTATTGGAGGCATGTATTGTGTATTATGGATCTATTCCTCATTCCTGAAAAATATTCACTCGCAGTGATGCCTCCACTATGTCTATTTATCTTTATCGCCTGCAGACCTATTGGGAATATTGTCTCATTTGAAAATGGTACTTCCAATTTATTCTCTGCCAGAGCGACGATATCACGTGTTATAAAACAAAGTTATAGACAGAGTTAAAACAGAGATACTCACCTGCTCATGTCTGTCGTATATATATTTGATCAACAAGTGTGTTTTGTACCGCACTGTTTATCGTTTCATCATTTTGGATCCTGCAGAACGCATTTATGAAGAGAGAAGGTGAAGAGGGGAGGGAGGAGCGTGGGAAAGAGAAGGGTTAAACGAAAACAAATGGCTAAATAAAATTTAAGTGTTTCAAAGGAGTTACGAAAGTAACCTGAAGAGCCAAGTGGTGTCTAGGGCAGGTGATGGTGTAGTGTAGGTGGTGTCTAGGGCAGGTGATGGTGTTGTGTAGGTGGTGTCTAGGGCAGGTGATGGTGTTGTGTAGGTGGTGTCTAGGGCAGGTGATGGTGTAGTGTAGGTGGTGTCTAGGGCAGGTGATGGTGTTGTGTAGGTGGTGTCTAGGGCAGGTGATGGTGTTGTGCAGGTGGTGTCTTGGGTAGGTGATGGTGTTGTGTAGGTGGTGTCTAGGGCAGGTGATGGTGTTGCGTAGGTGGTGTCTAGGGCAGGTGATGGTGTTGTGTAGGTGGTGTCTAGGGCAGGTGATGGTGTTGTGTAGGTGGTGTCTAGGGCAGGTGATGGTGTTGTGTAGGTGGTGTCTAGGGCAGGTGATGGTGTTGTGTAGGTGGTGTCTAGGGCAGGTGATGGTGTAGTGTAGGTGGTGTCTAGGGCAGGTGATGGTGTAGTGTAGGTGGTGTCTAGGGCAGGTGATGGTGTTGTGTAGGTGGTGTCTAGGGCAGGTGATTGTGTTGTGTAGGTGGTGTCTAGGGCAGGTGATGGTGTTGTGTAGGTGGTGTCTAGGGCAGGTGATGGTGTTGTGTAGGTGGTGTCTAGGGCAGGTGATGGTGTTGTGTAGGTGGTGTCTAGGGTAGGTGATGGTGTTGTGTAGGTGGTGTCTAGGGCAGGTTATGATGTTGTGTAGGTGGTGTCTAGGGCAGGTGATGGTGTTGTGTAGGTGGTGTCTAGGGCAGGTGATTGTGTTGTGTAGGTGGTGTCTAGGGCAGGTGATGGTGTTGTGTAGGTGGTGTCTAGGGTAGGTGATGGTGTTGTGTAGGTGGTGTCTAGGGCAGGTGATGGTGTAGTGTAGGTGGTGTCTAGGGCAGGTGATGGTGTTGTGTAGGTGGTGTCTAGGGCAGGTGATTGTGTTGTGTAGGTGGTGTCTAGGGCAGGTGATGGTGTTGTGTAGGTGGTGTCTAGGGTAGGTGATGGTGTTGTGTAGGTGGTGTCTAGGGCAGGTGATTGTGTTGTGTAGGTGGTGTCTAGGGCAGGTGATGGTGTTGTGTAGGTGGTGTCTAGGGCAGGTGATGGTGTTGTGTAGGTGGTGTCTAGGGTAGGTGATGGTGTTGTGTAGGTGGTGTCTAGGGTAGGTGATGGTGTTGTGTAGGTGGTGTCTAGGGCAGGTGATGGTGTAGTGTAGGTGGTGTCTAGGGCAGGTGATGGTGTTGTGTAGGTGGTGTCTAGGGCAGGTGATTGTGTTGTGTAGGTGGTGTCTAGGGCAGGTGATGGTGTTGTGTAGGTGGTGTCTAGGGCAGGTGATGGTGTTGTGTAGGTGGTGTCTAGGGTAGGTGATGATGTTGTGTAGGTGGTGTCTAGGGCAGGTGATGGTGTTGTGTAGGTGGTGTCTAGGGCAGGTGATGGTGTTGTGTAGGTGGTGTCTAGGGCAGGTGATGGTGTTGTGTAGGTGGTGTCTAGGGTAGGTGATGATGTTGTGTAGGTGGTGTCTAGGGCAGGTGATGATGTTGTGTAGGTGGTGTCTAGGGTAGGTGATGGTGTTGTGTAGGTGGTGTCTGGGGGAGTCCTATGTAGGTGGTGTCCTCGAATGGCAGGACATAATACCAGTGGTCTCCAGGGGAGGCTGGAAGAGATCACCTATTACTTGCTTTCTGCAAAACAATTGAATAGGAAAAGCAATAAACGAGAAACAAAAGAGGAGTAAACAATTGAAGCAATACTGGAACACAGGAAAGAAAAAAAACAGGTTTACGAGATAGGATACAAATATCATCGACATTAAAGCCTCAACAAGAACGATTTGCGTTTCAGAAAGTAAAGACAAATTACTTTTATTGAAAAAAATTGAAGAACAAAAATGAATAGTAATTGATAAAAGGCAAAAGAGGAATTAATTAACCGTGAGAGAAATACCCTGACAAATATCAACACGAAAACGAGTAAATACGACCAAAATAGAGAACGTGGAATGTGAATATCAGTCTAGAGTTCGCCGAGTTTTGTGACAGATGGAGGCATATTGGACACAGCTGCAGCACGGTAGAGGGGAAGAGTGGAGGTTCACTGCCATAAAGAAGGAGAACATGACGGAGAATAGTGGTGGGTTCACTCTATTAAAGGCGGCCCTTGAGTCCTGCAGCCAAAGGGAAGCCAGGAGGGAATAGTCAGGTGATGTGGGGCCAGTAGAGGATAGTCAGGTTAGTGGCCACTTATTGCGAGAGTCAGTCCAGGGTGAGCAAGCATTTGTATATGATTTGTTATATATATATATATATATATATATATATATATATATATATATATATATATATATATATATATATATATATATATGTCGTACCTAGTAGCCAGAACGCACTTCTCAGCCTACTATGCAAGGCCCGATTTACCTAATAAGCCTAGTTTTCATGAATTAATTTTTTTTCGGCAACCTAACCTACCTAACCTAACTTTTTCGGCTACCTAACCTAACCTAACCTATAAAGATAGGTTAGGTTAGGTTAGGTAGGGTTGGTTAGGTTCGGTCATATATCTACGTTAATTTTAACTCCAATAAAATAAAATTGACCTCATACATAATGAAATGGGTAGCTTTATCATTTCATAAGAAAAAAATTAGAGAAAATATATTAATTCAGGAAAACTTGGCTTATTAGGCAAATCGGGCCTTGCATAGTAGGCTGAGAAGTGCGTTCTGGCTACTAGGTACGACATATATATATATATATATATATATTTATATATATATATATTTTAGTGAGGTGGATGGGGTGAGGTGGAATTAATAGGGTATTAATTTCATCAACACAAGACAGAACACGAAACAATAGGTATTGAATAGAAGTGTTTGTAGAAAGCCTATTGGTCCATATTTCTTGATGCTTCTATATTGGAGCGGAGTCTTGTGGTGGGTAGAATACCCACCACAAGACTCCGCTCCAATATAGAAGCATCAAGAAATATGGACCAATAGGCTTTCTACAAACACTTCTATTCAATACCCATTGTTTCGTGTTCTGTCTTGTGTTGATGAAATTAATACCCTATTAATTCCACCTCACCCCATCCACCTCACTAAAATATATATATATAAATATATATATATATATATATATATATATATATATATGTGTCGTACCTAGTAGCCAGAACGCACTTCTCAGCCTACTATGCAAGGCCCAATTTGCCTAATAAGCCAAGTTTTCATGAATTAATTGTTTTTCGACGACCTAACCTACCTAACCTAACCTAACTTTTTTGGCTACCTAACCTATAAAGATAGGTTAGGTTAGGTAGGGTTGGTTAGGTTCGGTCATATATCTACGTTAATTTTAACTACAATAAAAAAAAATTGACCTCATACATAATGAAATGGGTAGCTTTGTCTTTTCATAAACAAATTTGAGAAAATATATTAATTCAGGAAAACTTGGCTTATTAGGCAAATTTGGCCTAACAAGTAGGCTGACAAGTGCGTTCTGGCTACTAGGTACGACACATATATATATATATATATATATATATATATATATATATATATATATATATATATATATATATATATATATATATATATATATATAATATATATTTTATGTGTGTGTGGTGCCTAATAACCAGAACCGCACTACTCGGCCTAGTATACAACGTCAGATTTGCTTAACAGGTCAAATGATTTTCGTTATTTTTCATTTTTCTTTCACGATTCTTATCTAACAATAATAATCTATTATATTAGGAACATGAATTACTTACTTGGGAATGTTCAGTAAGGAGTTTCAGTTACCGCAATTAGGTTTTTGAGGACCTTAAGCCTCGGAGAAAATATAAAATATAATTCCAGGAAGCCATTTTGAATCCTGGGTATGCCCTTGGATATTGTCTTCAACCTCCACTTTTCTATGCCTGATTTCACAAAGTTACATGGTTACAAAATTCATTAGTTACAAAATGAAGAACACTAAACAAAAATGTAGGTTTATTCGAACATCTTGGTCGCTTGGTAGCGGCTAAGGATGCATTTAGCATATTCTTTCTGAATGGCTACATTTAAGTACTTGAAAAGGAAACCAACTAATATTGATCCTTTTGTTTCGATGATCCTATAATCCAGATTCCTTAGAAAGTTCCTCGGCGCTTTCTCCACATGTGCTGAGAGTCTCAGAGTATTAACGAAATAAAGATCAAAAGAATATGAAAAACGAGCATATGAAATACAACCGCCAATAAAGATCTGGAAAGATTTATTACTAGAACATAGACTGGAGAAGGCCAGCTGAGAACCTTTGAGAGATTATTATGGAGCGTATTACGGTCAATACGTCTGTAATTAGCGGTGTTATTGACTGGTCCTTTGTTGCATGGGAAGTTAAGCAAGGATGTGTGTGACGTCCAACTCTTTGTTGCGGGGCTTTATTGATGCAGCAATTAGAGAAGTGTCACGCCTGGCAACTGTGACTTTGTTGATTACAGAACACTGTGAAACCCTGGAGCACTGTTGTATGGTTTTGATGGTATTGGGTGGTACTGAGGATGTTGTATGTTGCTGAAGACGTTGTATGAGGATGTTGTATGATGCTTAAGATGTATGATGCGAAAGAATGCTGTATGCTGCGTATGAATGTTGTATGATGTTGAAGATGCTGGTTGATGATGTATATTATGCCAAGGATGTTGTGTGATGCCGAGGATGTTGTATGATGCTGAGAATGTTTTATGATGTTGAAGATGTTGTATGATGCTGATAATTTGATTTGCTATTGTTGTATTCTCCTGAAGGCGTCGTGGGCCGCTGAATTGAGAAATAATACGTGATAGAATTCGACGTGGAGTCAGTTCTTTCTCTGATTATTCCACAATTTAGACATGTTAAAGTAAGGTTCCCCCTAGAGCCATATGGGTCATATTTGTGCTGTCATGACGGCCACACGTGTTTCGTAAAACATATCTGTAGATGTCTCAAGTTAGCCTTCAGTTCCCTGAGTCTTGAGACACGCATTGGGTCTTCATATATCATAAGATCGATTATTCGTTTCATAAAGTCTTTTCAAGTTGTACCTTTTTAGCTTGGCAATGCTGTTGTTACATATTTTAAAAAATTATCTTTCCATTCACCGTTGTTCAAAAATACTGTAATTCCCATTGTTCTTAGAACACTCGCTCTTCTTCGTTCAGTTTCCTTTTTCTCTTAACTGGAGGAGCACGAGCCATTTTAAAGATGGCTTGATGATTCTATATCAAGGACCATGCGCTGTCAACTCTGTGCTCCTGAAAAATACAAAAAGATACAAAAATTAATAATAAAATCACCGGTTATAAAACTGAAATGAAATCTAGGCCAGCGTAACAATTAACGTCATGTCTATTTTTAGAAGTCTTAACTCACTTGCCTCACAGCTGCATTCGTATTTCTTTTGCACTTTTGAAATCTATTAAATGGTGTTTATAAAAATTTAAACAAAAATGCAATTTTTGCCTTTAAATGGCCAAATTATAGTATCCTGTGTGCGGGCCGCAGTTGTGCTTTGCTAAGGTTGAATGTTTAACATGCCATGATGTAAATTCTATATCATGGACCATGCGCTGTGAACTGTGCACCATGCGCTGTGACCTCTGTGCACCATGCGCTGTGACCTCTGTGCACCATGCGCTGTGACCTCTGTGCACCATGCGCTGTCAACTCTATGCACCATGCGCTGTCAACTCTATGCATCATGCGCTGTCAACTCTATGCACCATGCGCTGTCAACTCTGTGCACCATGCGCTGTCAACTCTGTGCACCATGCGCTGTCAACTCTGTGCACCATGCGCTGTCAACTCTGTGCACCATGCGCTGTCAACTCTGTGCACCATGCGCTGTCAACTCTGTGCACCATGCGCTGTCAACTCTGTGCACCATGCGCTGTCAACTCTGTGCACCATGCGCTGTCAACTCTGTGCACCATGCGCTGTCAACTCTGTGCACCATGCGCTGTCAACTCTGTGCACCATGCGCTGTGAATTAGCGAACCTGTTCCACAGTTGATTTACACTCTGAGAGTTGCTGTGTTGTTGTTTATGAATGGCGTCTGATGAAGTTGGATTTTGTAGTTAGTATTGTTACTACCTACAAAACTGTTGTGACTTTCTTGTTATGGCGTTGTTTAGTGATTACCTGTTTTCTTCCGCAGGGTGGAAGAAAACTTGTAATAAGGGAGGGAATTAAAAAATTCACATTACATGCGAGCATCACATTGTTTCGCCAACAAGTCTCGATTGTGTGTTTTCTCAAGACTTCTTTCATCAGAATGTGCTGGCTCCTGGGTGTAGTCACCAGTCATAGTTTTGACCACTTACGACTGACTCTAGTGCGACCCAGTTTTGACCACTTACTAGCGTTAGTTAGGCAAGCAGAGATTAAGTCACAACTATATTGGCTGAAAATACATAACACATAACACACACACACACACACACACACACACACACACACACACACACACACACACACACACACACACACACACAGGGAGGTGTGTGTGTGTGTGTGTGTGTGTGTGTGTGTGTGTGTGTGTGTGTGTGTGTGTGTGTGTGTGGAAAAAAAATAGTAGTAGTAGTAGAAACAGTTGATTGACAGTTGAGAGGCGGGACCAAAGAGCAGAGCTCAACCCCCGCAAACATAACTAGGTGAATACACACACACAAACACACTTGGAATCTATACACCAGTAGATTGGCGGTTGAGAGGCGGGACCAAAGAGCAAAAGCTCGACTCCCGCAAACACAACTTGGAGAGTACACACACACACACACACAGAATTAAATGTGTGAGTTGCGATATTAACCATGGGTTAATTGCTAAAATAATATCAATGATTGTATAAGAATTAACTGTTAGAATGTTGTAGATTACATTTGATTTCAATAAGGTATAAAGTCTGTTGATATATATATATATATATATATATATATATATATATATATATATATATATATATATATATATATATATATATAATATATATAATTTTGCCATACACCCCCCATGATGTAGATTCAAGAATTATTTATTAATAATGTGTGTATGCTATTATTTAATTAACAGCCTTGCTGGTGGAAATATGTATGTGTGCCGGGCATACTATATAGCGTGTTCAGCAGGCAGTAACTTAGGGTCAAACTTCCCTGCGCTCGGGTGCAAGTTTACGACTTTTTAATGGCAGTAAAGGATTTCTTTGGGTAATTTAAGTCTTATTAAGGTTCATGTTGGCATGTTTCAAGGGAAGAATAAGTATTAAAGATTTATTAGTAAAATTCCTCTCCAGTTAGTGTGTGGTGCTGCTAATTCTGACGTATAACGATGATGCTATTGTATGCTGTGGCTAATGTTTGATGCTGTTTTATGATACCGACGTTTGTTGATGATATTGTATAATGATGCTGTCGATTAAGACGTATAATGCTGCGGTATACTACCGATTAAGACGTATAATGCTGTAATACTGTCGATGAGGAGTTATGCTGCTGCTGTGCTCTGCCAATGAGGATATATGCTGCCGATGCTACTCTAGTTTGTAAGACAGAACTGCAGTCACTCGATAAAGGAAAAAAATATACCCGGATTACATAACTCTGAGGAGGAGAAAATTGAAAATAAAATATTGAAGTCCTAGAGAGCTAACGGACAGGAGGAGTCGTGGAGACATAAATCAGGAAGGAGAAGTGGAGGGAGGAGCTGGGGAATCAGGGAGAGAGAAAGAGAGAGAGAAAGAGGGAGGGAGAGGGAGGGAGAGGGAGGGAGAGAGAGAGAGAGAGAGAGAGGGAGAGAGAAAAAAAATTTAGTCCCGGAATGAACGGGATGCGATAGATGACGAAGGAATAGAGGAGAACGTGGAATTGAGAAATAGGCGAAAAGATAGGAGACAGCGTGCGAGGCTCGTCACAAAAAGTGGAAGAGAATTTCGTGGGGAGGGAGAGGGGAGAGGGAAAAATGGAAGGGCAAAGGAGGTCAAATATCTGGGAAGGAATTTCAGTAATGATGGAGGAGGAACTTCAGGGACATCTTTCAGACTTGAGAGGCCAACACGTGACAGGTGGTATGAGGGGGGCGTGGTGAGGGTGGGTCACGCTCGGGGTGACAGGTGCTGTGAAGGTGGATTTTTTGTTTAACGCACACGCACACGCACACGGCCGCACACGCACACGGCCGCACACGCACACGGCCGCACACGCACACGGCCGCACACGCACACGGCCGCACACGCACACGGCCGCACACGCACACGGCCGCACACGCACTCGGCCGCACACGCACACACCAAAGAGCCAGAGCTCAACCCCCGCAAGCACAACTAGATAAGTACAACTAGGTAAGTACACTCCCACTAACACTCACACCCATACACTCACACTCACACACAGGACCTTGCGGCTTAGTGGACAGCGCTTAAGGGTTGTAACCCCATGGACCCGGATTTGATTGCCGGCCCAGGCAAAAACAAAAAAGTTTCTTTCACATTATGATTCTGTTCACCTTATAGTATATAAGTTCCTGGGAGTTATCTACTCCTGATACGGGTTGCTTCTTGTGTACTCTCCTAGTTGTACTCCCCTAGTTGTGTTTGCTGGGGTTGAACTCTGGCTCTTTGGTACTGCCTCTCAACTGCTAAACAAATGAGCTACTGGGCTCTATCATATCTACATTTAAGAGAGAGAGAGAGAGAGAGAGAGAGAGAGAGAGAGAGAGAGAGAGAGAGAGAGAGAGAGAGAGAGAGAGAGAGAGAGAGAGAGAGAGAGAGAGAGAGAGAGAGATTAAAGCGCTGTATTTAGTCTTCCTCCACCACATCACTTTATGAATCATTCCTTTTATTAACTATTCTGACATTAAAACTATTCTTTCTAGTGTCTTTATGGCTCATTTGGGCACTCAATTTCCACCTGTATCCCCTAGTTCGTGTTCTCTTTATGTTAACTAAACTGTCTTTGTCTACCCTATCAATTCCTTTGAGAATCTTGTATATGGTGATCATGTCTTTGTGGAAATATCGGATCATGTCGTTGAAAATATATACTAATGTTATGAAATAACTTATATTGAGAAGTAGAGGGTGGAAAAAAATCCCCACTAAATTACAGCCGGTGTCACTAACAAGCTTTCTTAACTAACGACTTCATTCAGAGGAGACTCGTAGACCATCTAGAGAAACCTAAGTTTGCCACTTAACACCAACATAGTTTCACCAAAGAAAAATATAGCTTGGCCAAAATTGTTGTTTTACAGAAAGTAATAACGATATACCAGAAGAGGAACTGTGGAAAGACACGATCATCCCCCAATTGCCAGAACACTTCCGACAGTCTCTCGCACGAGACAGTTATACAAAGTTTGAAGAACATGACTGTAATTAGGAAAGTGAAAAAGAGTACCCATCGGACAGAAGACAGAGAGTAACGGTGAGACTATACTTACGAATAGTTACAAATGAGTTGCCACAAGGGGGCTATATTAGACCCTAAACTGTTTCCGATATTAATCAACTATTTGATAGACAATGGGACTCGTTCATAAAAGCATTTCAAGTCGATGATAAGCTAATGATAGAAGGCAGAACGGAAATTTTTAAACCAATTCCATCATACTTTGCCTATAGTTATCTGTAACAGGGAACTACAAGACTCGTGTGACAGAGGAAGAAAGTGGGGAAGGTTTGATGAGCTAAAGGTTCGACGTGGGACACACCCCACACCGTCACCCAACCTCACCCAACACGGCTAGGTGGGGTGACAACACGGCTATACATATATATATATATATATATGTCGTACCTAATAGCCAGAACGCCCTTCTATGCCTACTATGCAAGGCCTGATTTGCCTAATAAGCCAAGTTTTCATGAATTAATTGTTTTTCGACTACCTAACCTACCTAACCTAACCTAACCTAACTTTTTCGGCTACCTAACCTAACCTATAAAGATAGGTTAGGTTAGGTTAGGTAGGGTTGGTTAGGTTCGGTCATATATCTACGTTTTTAACTCCAATAAAAAAATATTGACCTCATACATAATGAAAAGGGTAGCTTTATCATTTCATAAGAAAAAAATTAGAGAAAATATATTAATTCATGAAAACTTGGCTTATTAGGCAAATCAGTCCATGCATAGTAGGCTGAGAAGTGCGTTCTGGCTACTAGGTACGACATATATATATATATATATATATATATATATATATATATATATATATATATATATATATAATCCAAATTCACAATTTACAATGAGAAACGATTAATTCCTCGAAAATGGATTTATACTTTTTTTCTGGACATAAAAAATTATGGGAATCGCATAGCAAACTTTGGATCAAGGATGGGAGTGGGAGGGTTGCAAAGGGAAGTGGAAGAGAGTGGGAGGGACGGAATGGGAGGAGGGGGAATGTGCTGGGTTGCCTTGGATGTTTAATCAAATATATCTGTAATCCAGTCTCCTTAAATCACTTACAGAACTAAATATTTGCAAACGTAATTACCAGGCGAGGTCACGTGTCACACGAAGCTGGTCAAAGAGTGAAAGAATGTTGAAAATGGGAGAGAGAGAGAGAGAGAGAGAGGGAGAGAGAGAGAGAGAGAGAGAGTGAGAGAGAGAGAGAGAGAGAGAGAGAGAGAGAGAGAGAGAGAGAGAGAGAGAGAGAGGAGATTCCAAAGTATGACCCAGAAAATACAAAATAGAATTAGTTTTTTCTAAATCTTTTTCTAATTAAAATTAGTTTTTTTCTATTAGTCTGATAGTTTTTCTATCAGGGCACACATAATAATGGTAAAAAATAGAGCTCTGAGACTTTATTTGCCTGACCAGACTTAGAGTCAGTAAGCAAGTCTTTTCTCTGTCCTCGTATTTCTTGTTACCATTGTAATTTAAAATTAACATTTATATTATTGCAATACAAATATAACGTAATTTAACACCGTGTCATTGTACATGTACCGAATCAATGTTTATAATGTTTATAATGACTCTGAAATATTAATTACAGTAATGAGTGAAACTCAGCGTTGGGTTCCATGGGTAATTACAATGTGTTCCTGCCAACACCCGCCCCTATCTGTTTCCATTATATGCACTTATTATTATTATTATAATATATATATATATATATATATATATATATATATATATATATATATATATATATATATATATATATATATAATGTGTGTAAACGTATGTATATATAATATATGTAATATGCAGAATCATCTCTAACACTCATAACCGAATCAGTTATCTCCCTCTTCCTACCCCCACACCCTCTTCCCTTTTCTCTCTTTCTCTTCCTCTCT